AGATCTGTGTCTTTGGCTGGTGTGTCGTCTGGGCGCTGCACGGCACACACTCCTTGGTCCAGTTTTGTTGCGATGCGGTCAGCGGAGTTTGCTAACTGGTCTAGTGGAGTACTGTCCGCGATTGGCGCCAATATCTGCATTATTGCAGTGGGTAACTTGTCCATCCACAGTTCGTGCAAGATCGATTCGGCCATTGAATGTTTTCCCAGTCGGCTCCTCATGAAGCGTAGGAGCTGTGAGGGTGTTCTGTCGCCCCTGGTGACGTGGGTGAAAAGTTCCCGGAGCAGATCCTCGTCCGAACGGCTGGTTCATTTTAAAATCGCATCCTTAAGCCGAGTATATGGCTCCTGCTCGGGTACATGTTCTAAAATGTCAGCTACTTCGTCGACCACTGAAGGTGGCAAAACTTGTACAACGTTGGCGAATTTTGATTGCTCTGACATTATTCTCCGTACTGACAAAATGGCTTCCAGCTGCAAAAACCAGTTTTTGGTGTTTTGTTCGTTATACGGAGGGAGGTTTGTGAGTGGCATTGCTACATTTGTGGGAGTGTTCTGTTCGCACTCGTCTGTTGCCATCTTGCTCGATCGTAAATATCGGGGTCACCACTTGTTGCGGTGCTAAGCAGAAAAATAATATAGGACAATAAAGATGAGGATGTAAAAGTTTAAGCCAAATTTTATTAAATAATCTGGCAAAGGTATGTACAAATAATCGTTTGCAGGAGTTCAGTCGTGTAGTTAGAAAGTGTCAATTGAAGTAGCGTTGTCAGGTTTCAACGCGACAGCTTGGAGGTAGGCCGAATGGAACAGCGATGTTCGAGGTCCAGTCAATCCCCGGATGTCTGAACTTGTGTAAAGAGTGCGTCGACACTTGAGGAGAGAGAGGATCAATGCGGATGGCGCTGGTGTAGTCTGTTCGTCCTTGGTATGGCTGTCGCGCAAGATCGCAGCTTGGTAATTCTAATAAAAGGCCATTCGTAATAACGCGGCTAGGTTAGTCCTGAAAAGGACTATTGCATATCATGTAGCCGAGGGTAGACTAGTGCATATCATGTAGCCGAGTGTAGGCTAGTGCATATCATGTAACCGGCTGCTGCTGCTGATGAAGCTGGGTCGGCCTGCTGCTGATGATGAAGCTGGGTCGGCCGGCTGCTGCTGCTCTGGCTGCTTTGTGTGGTCAGCGAAGGGAGCACGTCGCTCAAACCCCGAGGCCCAAAATTCGCCGAGAGAATTGGTTTGGTGGAAGAAATCGGCTGTGTTTATATATAGGCTGAGGTCGGCAATGTAGCCGGTTAGCGATATCTTTGGGGTGATAACTGAAAATTACCTTTTACTTTTTGACTGTACACATGGGTTTCATTCGAACACCATGTGTATATAAAGTAGTTTCTGGTAATTGTTTTTGGTTAGGAAGGCTTGTGTATGTAAATGTTTCGTTTGTTTTGAGTTTGTGTGAGTCGTTGACTGAAAAACGCTGAATCACCGGAAGTTAACGGCATTCGTTATGTTTTCTGCAGTGTTGGTTCTTGATGCGTTTCATTACCATAGGATGCCTTGCATGAAGAATATACTTCAGGAGAAGAGGACTGATCTTGTTATTACACCAAGAGGAATGACTGGCCAACTTTAAATAATGGATGTTGTCTGCAACTGCCCATTTAAACAAGGGATGCATAAAAAATGGAATGACTGCATGTTTTCTGGTGTTCCCAGTTTTACTTCTGGTGGCAACAGGAAAAAACCAGAATTGGAATTTATTGTAAAATGGATTCAGGAATCTTGTGATTCCGTCAGTGAGGATGTTAAAGAGAGGTTACAAGAAGTATTGTCTCATGACAGCCATGGATGGCTTTGAAGATGACATCCTTTAGCAAGAGGATGAAGAGGCTGAAGATAATTTTGAACAGGATGGAGATAATATTATGAATGATAATTTGTTTAATGACAATTCAGATATTGATTCTATAATAGAAAGTGGTGATGATGATGATGATGAAAATTAAAATTTCAATAAATTGTTAACTTGATATCCTCTTTTCTTCGAAATTAGCCTTTTTATAGATTTTTTTTATTTTTTCGCCAAATAAAAAATGCAGTTACTGATAAACAAATTTATTGACAAAAAATGTTACAATTATTATTGTTGGATTTAAAATGAAATTTGGGATAATATCTTTATTTTAGAACAAGTATATATTTATTATTATAAATCAATAACGAAAAATATATATTTTGTTTAAACCTATCTATAATATGCACCCCTACTGTCACCTGCAATTTTTTTTACAGTAAAAATATGTGTATTATTTTTGAGAAATTATGGTATTATGGAAACTATTGTCTTAAGAAAAAAGTGCTTTTTTTTTTTTTTAAATAATGTTTACAAGAATTGTTTTCATCATTTTAAAATTTTAATTAGAGAATAATTTTTAAATTCTGTATTAATTTGTAGTGGTCATGTTATAGTTATTAAATTAAAATTGTATTTATTAATCATAAATAGAAAAGCTCACTCCAATTCAATGATCCCCAGTGTTTTAAAAAGATTTTTGTGTGTGTATATATGTGTGGATTTTTGTAAATATGAATGTCCATACATGATAGCAAAAAATAGAAAGGTACCTAATATAAATTAAAAATTTTTTGGTAATTTTCTAACATTTTCTTGACAAGCATCTTCGTAAGGCTGTAAAACCAAAGTAGCTAAAATTCAATAAAATATTAAATTGCTTAAAATGTTTTTTATAATTTTACAAATTACTGGGTAGTTACAATGTTACATAAAAAATGTGTTCACATTGTATTCATCAAGTAATTTCTTTCAGTTCTGTCCCCCTTACACAAACACTAGTATTATAATGAGTTTTTGGTTGCAAAGGAGAAGAACAAACAAGGATTAAGATTTCAACGTGTATTGGCCAAAATTCAGAATATGTACATAGTTGTTTGAAAGGTGGCATAAATTGTTCATATGTGATTCTTCAGTTGCTGTTAGTAAGGAAAGTGATTAGGGTAAGGGTGTTGTTGGTAGGGCCAAGAGTTGACAGATTTCTTGGGTTAGTTGGTTGAGGTCATTGGTGGGGGTCAACATAGACATTTCTTCAATGTTGAAATAGACACCAGTGAATGGTTTGATAGGAGGTCAAGTGATGAGGCCAAGGTGTTAAAACTGGAGATGATTCATGGTAAGGCCTGGTAATGTGCCTTCAGTGGGTTACTCGATCGAGGCCATGGTGGTGGGTTGGTTTGTGGTAAGGCACATGGGTGGGTTGGTTGCTGAGATTATGGCAGTGGTGGCAAAGGAGGCCTGAAGTAGTTGACGATGCAAGAGTTAGGAGATGTCATGGATCAAATGGGATTTAACAGAACTGGGTCACAGTGGTGATGATGAGAGAGGTCTGGAATGGATAATGAAAGTTGATCGAGCAAAATGTCTCTGTTGGATTTTGATTAATGTGGTATCAATAAAACAAGGTCATGGTGGTGACAACAAGAGAGGCCTAGGGTGAATAGTGAAGATTGATTGAGTGGAAAGTCTCTATTGGATTCTAGTTGAATGTGGTGACAACAAGAGAGGCCTGGAACTGGATGTTAAAGATGTTGAGGTGTTAGAAATCATGGTGATGGTGTCTGGAGCCTAGTAGTGTTGGAGCTGGCCTGTCAGCTGCATTCTGCATGTGATGAGTTGGGTGAGATTAGTGAAGCTTGGGAGAGGTCACGGTTGTGGTTAGAGAAGTGATGCTGACAACACACTTACATGTTGACAAGTGGCCTTTTCAGCTTGCTACTGTGTTGGTCGTTTATAAGGGGATTTCTTTTAAACAAATCTGGTGGTTACCAGAGTCATCTTTCTTCCAGCAGGAACGTTCATGATTGGCTGTTGTATTTTATTGTGGGGATTTGTTTTGTGGACCAGATATGATGACCAGAGTCCCAGAGCAGAGAACAACTTTTTTTATTTTGTGTTTTGCTTTCTTAGCAATTACATCCAGCTGACATATAGAGTGAATCAGAAATTGATCTAGTTGCAGTGAAGTATAACATTAGGCTGTCAATAAATCAGCACATCAGAAAAACACCCCCATGTTAAAAAAAAGTACCTTTCTGTGGTATTTAAATGTTCAAGAGAAGAAATTATTAGAATAGAATTTATTTATTCAACTGTAAAATGATGAGAGCTAGTACTGCACTTAAATTCATGAGGTTGAGGTACCAAAGGGGGAAAGCTCATTAGAAAAGTTGCTATGAAAATATTTATAGAAAGGGCACAAGAACGTTATGTTACAGAAGTGAGAAAGTGACTTAATACATCTTTTTGCTTCTGACGCCAGTTTTGTACTAGAGAATGGGTCATACTTTTCCATCATTCCTTTTTCTCAGCTTTTTCATTGGCATTGCCCATTTCATATCTTTCTGTGCATAGAAAACTTTTAATAGGTAGGTACTTTCACAATTTTTAAGCAAATTTTAAAACATTTCAATAACTTAAATATTTTGTTTGAAGTTTTAATTTTTCTATAATGTTAATTTAGTTGGGATTTCCTAAAATTAAATAAAGGTATTTTATTAAAAGTTTTAGAAAATAATACATTTTTCATAAATAAATAGATTTTATTTTAAAATTCTGTCTGTATGTATGTACATAATGTGTCTTAATTTTTAAAAAACTAATGAAATGATGCAGGATATTCCACATAATATTTATAAATTTTACTGGAACTCCAAGTAATATTTCATAATTTAATTAAAGTTATAAAAATATTGATAAATATATTATAAGATCATTAATTCTTTATATAGAGAGTATCGAAAAGTTTTTGGTTTGACCCACTTTCCAAAATCTAGCCTAATGAGCAAACTTCAGATTTATTTTTGGTAAGGGCTTCTTGATTGGGCTGCAAACTTTTCAGCATGCCTTTGAATATCAATTACTCTTTTTTTTATTATTGTATTTATTATTTCATGCTTTTGTTTCAGATATAAGGAAAGAATTAAAAAATGCCTGTTGAAGTCAGTGACCAAGAATTGTGTGAATGGTATGAAACAGGAATTCAGTTGGCTAAAGAATGTGGTCATGTAAGTATTATGTCTGCTGAGTAAATGTCCTTAAAATACTTTAAAAAAAAAACTTACTAAAGCTTTCTCTTATCCTCTACCTTTTCACATACTTTAGAGTTGTTTTTCTTTTGTTTGTTAACTTTTCTGAAGTTTGTATATTTGAAACTAATTTTTATATCAACACAAACTAGTATTTATAGTAAGAATTTTTTTTGTATATTATTTTCTGTTTTTATTTTTCTGTAAATATAAAACTAATTTTTCTTTTACTAGATGATCAAGGATTGTTTTTACAAAGACAAAAAAGTTACCCAGAAATCTTCCTTTGCTGATTTGGTCACAGAAACTGATCAAGCAGTTGAAAAATACTTTACCAAAGAAATTCATAAAAAATATCCTGGCCATAAGTAAGTTGTTAGAAAAGCTTTAAACTGTTTATTATGTGAAAGAGTTTGTTGTAAAAGAACTTAATAAAGCTAGAGTTAATCACAAAGATAGTCTATAACATTTGGATGTGTTGCTGTCTCTATAAAAGGTTTTGATTCTTAACGAATTAATATTACTTTTGTAATAATAAAAATAATTTTCTTCAAATTTCATCTTTCCATATTTATTTTTCTTTCCCAAGCATGTGTTTGGATTATAGAATTCATTCATTGTATTGCTTTTGTTGCTGCCACAGTATTTTGGCTGATTCATTCTATAGCCTTCTTCTGGTATACAATCCATAAAGAAAGGTAGTAAAATGAAATAATTTTTCTTTTTGACTGACTTGGCTCATTCACAGCAATGCAAGCCACACAGACTATGCCATTCTCATTGATAATTTAGTAAATGTAGCTTAGATGTGGAACATAGCCAAATGTATGGAGCACCCAGTGGGGATTGAATTCTCTACTCAGTTGCAATTGATATAGCAAGACATGCTTGCTAACCATTACACCATTTAGAAGTGCCCCTATGTCATTCTCAGTAGCCCATGTAACATGGTTGATTCTATATTTGTGCTTTGCGGATACACTCCAATTTCCTCCCTGCTAAGCAAAGAAATCCACACTGACTTACACTATATTCATCACTTTTCTTTTCTCCCCCCCCCACCTGTTTGTTAATGAGATTTTACTCTTTCAGACCTCACTCTCATAATGACTACTTTCATTTAGTGAGGATGTTTATTTTGAGTTAATGACATTTAAAGAACTTGAGTATCCAAAAGGTAATTGAACATTTCAAGTTTTTTCCTGGTTCTGTATTGATATTGAATGGTCACTGAAAATGCATGATTTTTAGTCTCTTTAAAAAGATTACCTGTGTATAGTGTAACTCAATATTTCTGCATAAAAAACTGATAAAAACTCATGCTATACTTGAATATATATGGTAATTAACTTTTCAGTTTTTATCATGAGAAATACTTTGAAATATATTTTGTAATTTCAATTTATGATATACTAAAATGTAATATTTCTCTTGTGGAAAATTTTTGCTTCAAAAGTATCTTAACCATATATAATTAATTTTTATTCCTGTTTAATTGATATACAAATTTCAAATAGGGTTATTGGAGAAGAAACAGTTGCTGATGGCTACAAAATTAATTTTACTGATGATCCAACCTGGATTATTGATCCCATTGATGGAACATCTAATTTTATTCACCGGTAAGTCTTTAGTTTATTTTTTAGTACTTAAATATTTATTTTAATCTTTTATCTTTTAATCTCAAAATTAAGTTCACATCACTAAAAAGGAAAAAAATTAGAAAATATGTTTGAAATCAATAAATTTTACAATTGTTAAAGAAATCAGAATTTTTCCAAAATGAAAACCATTTTTTATTGAATTTAAAATTAGTAACAAACAAAAGTTAACTTTTTAAAAATACCTCTTAAAATTCATGATAGTGTTTTGAAGTTTGTAAAATTTAATAGATTCAAATATAATTTTGATAAATTTTATAAATGTTTTATATAAACACCATGGAAAGAAAATATTGAAAAATGAAAATATTTAAAAAGATTTTATAGCATTTCAACTTCACAAGCTAATGTTTAAAGCAATTTGTTTTTGTTACAAATCATTGTGGTAATTTTGTTTATTATTTGCTATACACATTCTATATTGTCAAAATGTTTCTGGTTATTCAAGATTACTAGCATCATGGCTGACAAAACTGTACATAATTTGCACTTGTGTATAAAATCAATGAACTTTAGTTTCTTACTAAAAGGCTAGATAAATTATCATCCTGTATTATTGCCATATTCCTTGTTGAATAAATCCTAAGAAATAAACTTTGGTTCTGCTAGAATTTATAAATTATTTGGAACAACTGTCCAGTAGCTTTCTTTTCAAGGACATTAAATTCTAATGAACAAAATGCTCAACAATAGAAAAGTGGGTATATGCTATAGTGGAAACTCAACTGGATACCATGTTATTCGTCTTACTCATTAGTAATCAGTGGCATTCATCTTTATTACTACATCCAACATTAAGGCCTCTGATCAGGAGATTGAAGTTTTGAGGAGCATGGAACCAATTGCTCTTGTTCCCAGGTTAGGGTTCCAGCTATAAGCAAGTAGTGACCCCCGCCACACACACACACACACACACACACACATACATACATACACAAAGAGTAAAATACTGCGGAAGTATAAAAATACAAACAACACATTGTTAAAGCAAAAACACCAGCAGTATATTTTGTAGAATTACCAACAATAAATTTTATAGTAAAATGACTAATAATACATTTTAGCTGTAGTTGAAAGCATAAGAGTGCATTCAAAATATTTAGATTTTGGCATTAAATAACCCACAGAGGTTAATATGCCACTAAACAAAATCAACCAACCAATATCCTTGTTCCTAAACATTCAAATAAAATTAAGAATGATAAAAAGAGGATTAAGCTTGCTTGCCAAAGTTTTGACATAAAGTACAGTCGTAGGAGGATTAATATTAATGCATATGCTTTTTTAGGGCATATTGTGCTATACTTGGCATTAGTGAGTTAATTGCACAACTTTTTTGTCATCCATGTGTTACACAAATATTACACTAACACCAAGTTGAGGTTTTGTGTTGTTTTATAAATTTCATGCTGATAATTTTATTTAACAAGAGAGTGTATGTGTTAATGTACTAAATAAGAACTAGCTGAGATATCCGTAGACATGTTAGCAGAATGAGAAGAATCTACTCCAATAGATTAAATAAAAGGTTCAGTTTGAAATTCCCTGAATGTTACCTGGGTTGACAAGCACCTGATGAAGGCCAGAAGGCAAAAACAGCCAAAAAATTGTGATAATAACAACAAAGATAAGGACAATAGCCTACATGTAAATAATATAACTATTGATAGTTCTTCATCCCAGAAATTTAAACAGAAAAAAGTTTATTTGTTAGACATTCTAGTAGTGACACATCTGGTATATATACTTTGCAACTTTCTTGTGTGAAGTCAGTGAACATTGTTTCTTACTAATAAGTTACATAAAATTTTCATCTTTACTATTCTTTCTTGAATTAAACCTAAGAAATAAATTTAGATTTTACTATAAACATTTTTAAATAAGACATTTTGGGAGAAAGGGCTGAGAACTTTTATTGCCTCTCTTCTGGTTTATGATATTTGCTGGCACCTGTCTTAGTGGCCACATTGCCATACCTACCAAGTTGTGCATCCCCCCACCCCGAAACTCTGATAAAATAGTGCCAAATTTTATCGAATGTGTTAGTATTTATCAATGAGTGTTAAGCAGAAAAGCCTGGAGCTGTAAAACTAGAGTCCAAAATTATTTATCTTGAGTGGTCACTCAGAATGCACCATGGTAAAACCTCTGTCCACAAATTGTAATTTAATTTTTAATTAGAGAAGATAAGAAGTAAAGTATTATAAATTCCTGATTACTTAGTTATTAATATATAACTTCCAAAGTTACTAGGTCCAAGAAAAGTATTAATTGATGAGGTATTTTTTTAGTAGATATTATTTTACTCCAGCCTTGTTGCAAAAGATAAAAATTTTACACTATACAAAATACGATCAAAGTTTAATATGAAGATCATATTGTTAAACATTTGTTTTCATTTTGACAAAGATTGACTATTGGTGGAAGATCTGATGGCATACATTTCTATTAGCTGTCATTATTTCTGTTGTAATTTTTATTATTTTGTCATCTAAGAAGTCACATTGATAAAAAAAATTCTTCCAACTGAAAATTCTAAGAGTTCAACTTTGTTGTTTATTTGGTCATTTGTATACTTTTACTTGTGTTTCACAAAGTGCCAGGGTGTATAAATGATTAGCAGTTGAGTGATATCAGAAGTGACACAGAGTGGAAGAATGATGTTATGGTTCAAGTAACTAGAAGTTGTTATTTTTTTTACAGTATCAATTAGATACAAATACATTGAAAAACAAATGGTGTCCAGTCCACACCGAGAACAGTTCATTATGACCTTTGCTTCTTGTATAACTATCAGTTAAAATTATGTGTTCTAAGTAGTTATAGATATTTAAATAATAGCAACAACATCATCATAAGTAAATTGTCCTTATCTTTACTATAAAATAGTTGAATGAATTTATCTGTCATAATTTATGATTTGTACATATTTAATCTGCATAAGTTACAAAAAATTATAATTATCTTAGACTTCTTAAAAAATTTGAACATCAGTTTTTGTTTATTGCATGACATTAAAAAGGTATTTGTTCTCATTTACTAAAATTTACTTAAAATATTTTTTCAGACTTCCATATACATGTGTTTCTATCGGATTGACTATCAACAAAGAAGTAAGTTATTTGTATTACATTAAAGTCCACAAGTAGTGCCGAAGAAAATGTCAGTAAAAGTGAAGATAACAGTTAATATTTTGGATTTTACAAACATTAATCCAGATGTACTCTCATGATAGCATCCTGGGTATGATGATAAACTACATCCAGCAGCAAGGCCTCTGATCAGGAGGTTTTGAGGACCACTTCTTAATTGCTGTTGTTCCCAGGTCCACCCTGACCTGGTGTGGTAGCATCTGTTAGGGTCTCAACTATGGGCAAATAGTTTTGACTCCTGAACTGAGGTCAAAACACTATGAAAGTATAAAAATACATTTTTATAGTAAAAAAAAATTACCAGCACTACATTTTCATAGTAAAAAAAAAAAATTACCAGCACTACATTTTTGTAAATAAAATTACTAATGCTGCCAAGAAAACTAAATTTTGGCATTAAATGACCCATAAGGAGTTGATAGGTTGCTAAACAAAGAAATACTGATTACATTTTATCACTTATTTGAGAGTTTAATTTTGGAAGCAGTGGTCAAAGTTGGTTGTAAAGAGAAGTCATAGAGAAAGATGCAAGTCATTTGTGAATGGAATTACGATTAAAGTAACTAAAAGTTATTTGCTACTCAACATGACCACTGAACAAGGGCTTACGGCCACATGTTGAAAAAATGATTCCTGTATGATCACCAAAGTTAAGCCTGGTCAGTACCTCTATAGGTAACCACTTGGGAATACCAGATACTATAAGCTTAGATGTGTGGGTGATGTAATGGATAATGACTTGGAATTGGAAATTGGAGAGCTGTTCCAAATCCCATTAGTTTTGTTCACTTACGTGCAAATACCATTGGAAAAGGTATGAATCCACTTTTCTCTCCCCAGCTATGGGTTAATTAGCGAGACTTGTATCACTAAATTATTCTCAAAAAAGAAAAAATTGTGTACAAAATATTTAGATTTCAGCATTAAATAACCCATAGAGATGTTGATATGCTGTTAAACAACCAAAACTGGTGAACAAGGACACAAATCAATACAATAATTGATCAATTGGGAGTATGTTGGTATCATGTAGCTGACAAAGAAATTGATTTTTACAGCTTATCAACCCTTTTTAGTTTGTTTAAAGCTGAAACATATTTCAAATTGTAGTAAGTTACTTACAGTACCTGGTGTTCCCAAGCAGTCCTCCATCTAAGTACTGTTGGGGCTAGATGCTGCTTCACTTAGATGATCAAATGGAAACTGGTGTTTTCAGCAGATGACAAAAAAGCACCAGATACAACACATAAGAAGTGTAGGAAGAAAAATAATTTTACTCTGATCAACCGGTCACATTTGTTAGATTTCCTAAGAGAAGACAAGAGAAATGAAGCCCTGTAATAAAAAATGGAGGTAGGGTACTTAAACAGCTTTCAGTATCAGCAAAAATTGCAAAAGGTTTTGCAGTAATAGAAACTCAAGTGTTACAAATTTTTATCTGAAGTCCAAATTCTGCTATTGTTAGGTACAGATGTAGAAAATCAATGAAAAAGACTAAACTTATATATTGAGAAAAACAAAACAAAAAAAAAAACTCTTTCATAATTGTGGGTTTCCTCTTAAGTTATATTTTAATGAGGAGAGATGAGAAACACAAAGAATTAGTTTACTGCATTATTTATCATGGTATTTATTTATTTTCTATAAAGCATCTTCATTATTTAGTATCTTCTATTTTTTATCACACAATCTAAAAAGTGATGTTGCTTACCAACTGAAAATATGAGGGATTGTTGAACAGTGAAACACAACAGTTTCTGAAGCTGAAACCATTGAAGGTTGGCCAGTCAGTTTCTCTCTCACTTACTCACTTTTGGAAAATGAAACTTGGAAATGTTTTATTACTATTAAAAAATAAACAAATAAAAATAAACATTAGATTGCCAACAGGAATGGTAAATGATTTAAAACAGAATGTCTTCCAGAGTTTTTAAAAAAAACATGAGAGGTGATCAATATCAATTATAAATTCTAATGAATTTTGTTCCACATCAAAAATTTGTAAACTTTTGGGGGTTTTTTGAAAATACTTTGTGTACTTTTGAAAATTGCCTTAAAATAAATACAGAAATATTTTGTAAAGATTTTGGGTTTTTTTTTTTTCTCTTCGATTCAAATATTTGATCTGGTTTAATCATTTTTAATGATAATCCTCTTGTGTCTTTCTCTCTCCAGGAAATCATTGGTATTGTTTATAACCCAATCACTAATGACTTTTTTCAAGCAAGGAAGGGACATGGTGCATTTTGTAATGGGGAAAAACTGTCTGTAACTGGACTTGAAGGTAAGTCCTTAATTATCTATATCCATAAGTTGATGCATTAAAGTTATATATATATATATATATATATATATATATATACACACACACACACACATGATGGACTCTCCCATCAATTTCGACGTATGAGGATCCGACAATCTCATTCAGTTTTTATGTTTGTGTCGCATATGCCACCTCAGTCCTGCTAGTGACTTGCTTACAAGTCCACATATTGTGCAACAGTGAAGCTCCAGGCTGGTTTGAATTCAGGGTTTTCTTTCTCCTAGACTGGTTGCCACTCAATCTATCCTGTCTGTCCTGCATTTTACCCATAGCTGGAGGGAGAAGAAATAGATTCATACTTTTCACAGGGTTATTAACATGTAAGTGAATGTAATGAATCTGACTGGAATTGAACTCAACTCTCTGATTCCTCAATCCAAGCTGCAATCCATTACTCCACCATTCTTGGGTATGATGATAAGCTACACCTGGTAAGTTGGGATATATATATATATATATATATATATATATATATATATATATATATATATATATATATATATATATATAAGAAAGGTAAAGTATTGTTTTTTTTTCTGTTGTGTGTTCAGTTTTATTTAGTTTATCTACAAGATCCAGTAAGTTAGTATCACAGGGATATATTAATAGAGCATCATCAATATATCTGATATATTGATGATGCTCTATTATATATTAATATATCCCTGTGATACTAACTTACCAGATCTTGTAGATAAACTGAACGCACAATAGAATTCACATACAATATATATATATATATATATATATATATATATTAGTGAATATACATAATGTCCCATGTCAATAGCACGACTCGGAGTTTCATGCAAACACCAATCTTGTGCAAAGTTGCAAAATACTTACTGACTGGTAAGCATTATGAAATTTGCATTTTCATGGTGTTAATTTGAAATTGTGTATTAACACTTCTTCATTTTATTATTGTTGCCTATAATCAGAATTATTTAGAATTTATAGTTCGAATTCTTAAGTTCAAAAGACGGAGAATTAAAAAAAAATATTAAATAATTTTTTAAAAATTTGAATTTACGTAAACAACACCATATATGAAGGGGAATAACTCACTTTTTTTGCATACAAAACTATCATAAGTTGTAATGGAAATAATTGCTGCTTATTAAAATATAAAGTAATGTCTTATGGAACAAACTTAGCTCTCAAGATGTTAACTTAATTATAGGTTAAGACTATCTAATGCATTTGGAACCTGGCCATATATTTACAAGGGTGAAATTACATATACGCATGTCATAAATTAATCAAGTACGATCTATGATATGGAATTATATACGTGTATAGATATATAAAAAATGCTATTAATGATGGGTTCTATGAATATTAATAGGTGTTACATATATTAATATTTGTAAGATCTATTTTGAAATGGGTCCTGTTCAGCAAGTTAGAGTTAAGTGTTTTAATATAATAAGCTTCTACAAACACAAATTACATCTGTCTCCCTTTCCATAGTATGGTTTAGCTTTTGTGATTATCTCCCAGCTAATGGATGACTTCTTATAGTTGTTTTTTTAATTGCCAAAAATACTTTGAGTGTTTTGCAGTTTTTGTATTTAATATTGTTCAGCATCATTAGGTGATGGTAAAAACACAATTTCCAGTTGTTCTTGTTGAAACCAAATAATATTTAACATCATCGTGAGAATACCAGGTACTGTAAGCTTGGATGTGCAAATGGTCTAATAAATAAAAGCTTGGAATTTAAAATCGAGGAACCAAGTTCATTATATTCACTGACACACAAATACTGCTGGAAAAGGTATGAATTCACCTCCTTTCCTCCAGCTATGGGTTAATTAATCAGACTTGTAAATTATTATTACCTTAAAAAATTTTCATACTAGCTAAAAATGTTTTATGACTTTAAATAACCTGCAAAAAGTTCATAAGTTGCAAAAATTAATATTAAAATTACTTTTAGAAACTTTTTTTTTTTTTTTTGTCAACTGTATTGAGAGCCCCAAACTGGCCTTGTTCTCATTCACAGCAGTAGTATGCCTGCTACTGTATGGCCTATCACTAAGATCGATTTCTTATGATTGCTATTTATTCTACTGACACATTTCCTTACTATACTGACATCAAGCTTTTCCATAAGCATTCACTTATATGCACGCTTTCTCTTTCTCAAAACAAAAATTCTATGGCAGTTCTTTGCTTTCTATGTATATCTTGAGAGGACAACCATTTTGAAAGAATTTTGTGAAAGAAAAGGGAAGGCAATTTAACAATTTTTCCCTCAGTTTCTACATACTTCATGTTTTATAAGCTACAACAACCCCTAGAACGTTTAATACTTTTAAAATTAAATAAGAACAAGTAGTACTTTTTGACTAACCCTTGTGCATTTACATTACAGGCTGTAATGTAACAAAATAACTAAAATACCAAAGGGGTGGCGAATACTTTCACAAGGAATTGTATTTATACAAATGAAAACTTTTGCATTTCTATTCTGTTTATTTAGATATTGAAAAAGCGATGTTTATCATGGAATTTGGATCCAATCGTGACCCTGACAAGATGGCTGTGAAATTTAAGAACCTTTTCACATTGAACAAAGCATCTCATGGGTAAATACTATTACCAATGCTTTTAATCTATATACAGATTGCAATGAAGTGGAACATGCTAGAATCATGAATATGTAAGCAGCCCTTCTTTTTTTTTTCTTTTTTTTTTTTAAAGATTTGCATAAAATAAGATCTTGCTTGTTTAATTTTGTTTTGACAAAACTGGTCGTAATAAGTGGCTATTCCTTGTAAATAATGTTTTGTTTAATTAGAATCCACTGAAATTACAAAATAGAATTCTTTTTGCTATGTATGCCTCATTTTATTTGACATTAAAATTAATTTTTCCAATTTAAAATAAATTTTATTTATTCACTGTGGCGGACATGAGACAGAACCTGGGACGAGCACACCTGTTGCAACTTGCCTTGTCCTCGCCAAAAAAGAGCCCGTATTTACTTAGCATGTAAAGCTAATGCAGTTGAAATGAGGGAGAAAAAAGCACTTACCGCTCTGCCGTAATCCGTCCTCGGCCAGATAATGTAAAATTATTTATTGCACAATGTACAAATGTGGCACAAGGCCAAGAGGGGAAAGGGGGAAAGGATGGTCATATTCTGTCTTAACTTTAAACTTAGCTAGCCACAATCACTGACCCAAACATACAAACAATGTTCCTTTCACCAAAACAGCACATCCATTACATACCATTCTTACTACATCCACCAAAATGCCTCAGAGTCTCTATGAAGTTCTAACTAGTCCCCATATATACAATACATGTGTCTGTGGGGGGGAGGGGAATAAAATAACAATCTAAAAAACCCCAATGAATATTTACAATGAATACAAAACTATATACAAGAAACTAAACAAAAATTTTGTTAGTAGTAAAACCCCCCACAGCCCTAACTGTGGCAGAGACATCAGTTAACTGGACGAAAACAATGCGGGACTTAAAAAAGATAATATAAAACATTCATACCATCCATGCACTCACTAAAAACACACACTCAATCGGACACAACAACAAATACGAAAGACATACTCGAAACGAAAGGTGACCCGCACCCACCAGAGAACTGATACCCTTAACCACCTAACAATGGGAGGGATGGGGAATTAAACAAAAAGAAAAAAATAGGGCTAGAAAAAAAGGGGCCAATGAGCATACACACCCTAGCTAAGTTAACATGAAAAAAAAAAGAAAAAACTAACTAAAACAAAACGGACCTAAACTAACCTATACAAGGGAGGGGTAGCCAATGTTCACCCCAGCGATCCCAAAATTCTTAATGCCTAACCGCATCAAAATGCCACTCAAGTCAGCACCTTTCACTCTGCAGAGACGGGCAAGACTCACCCACCTTTTCGCCAAATTCCAATGGATGGAGTCGCTTTTTTCCGTCCTGATCTTGACTTTAAGCTGATGCTTAAAGAACAAGATCAGTTGGGAAGAGAAAACTTCTCGCGCCCATGAAATTCCTTCTGTCGCGTGCCGTCCATATCACGACTCGCATAACCCCCAGTAAGCAAAGGAACACATAGTGCTCAGCCTTAGTCAACGACGGTACTATATTGCTACAGACGGAACTGGCCTCGAGGACAAAGAACTTTCCGCAAGCATGCGAACCATGATATCTTCAACAAACTTGCACAACGGAGCTACGACACTACAATGAAAGAAGGCGTGACCAATGGTCTCCACCTCCCACTGCAGCGAACGCAGTTTGGCGACTTAGCCAAACCCGCTGAGCGAAGTCTTTGGCTGACCCAGAGGGCTCCTCGAATCACCAGCCAGGTGAGCGATGCCTCGGGATTAGTGAGACACTTCAACCCGGGCGCCTAAGGCCATATGCAGCAAGCCTCCCGCTTCGCCAGACCGAGCTCGCCTATTAGATCATCTCGAACGTTCCCCTAACTAACACCTGATATAATGCCTTACGGGACAACGGGTTGGACGTCGGAGAGGCCATCCTTCGCCCGTAAAGAGTCGCTGAGGGCAATCCGACATTCACGAGTAGAAAGAGCCTCGTGATCGAGGAGTATGACCGCCTCCTCCTCACACGAAGCGCACATTTCTCAAGGATGGAAAATGTTTACGGGCGTCTTCCTTCCAGAATTCGCCGCCCCTCATCCAGTTGCATACACATCCGGTCTAGATAAGTACGCGGACGCGTATGTTGATGAGTCTCAACGCAAGGCACCCCCAGACCGCCATCAGAGGGATGGAGGTAACAGATCTCGCGATTGACCATGGCAGCCTTGCCTCCCACAAGAAGGAGAACAAGAGCCTTAGAAACGCCAATAAAGTGTCAGACGGGAGTGGAAGCACAGAAAGTCGGTAAAGGAGAATCGGGTAGATGTGCGAGGCACATACTTCCGCCCTCCCCCTTCAAGGAAAGATTCCTCCGGTCCACAGACGCATTGCGAAGCTCGGCCTTCTCGCACCTCCGACCAATTCATTTCCAACTGGAGGTCGAGACTGAACCAGACGCCGAGTATCTTGACCGCCCCTCCGTCCAGAGGGAAAGATCCGAAGAGAAACTCCTTCCACGAACCCAACCGCAAGCCAACAGACTTATCGCGGTTGATCTTGGCCCCTGTCACCGCCTCATAACCCTTGATTTCTTTGTTGACTTCGGCAATTTCGCCCTACTGACACCAGAACCGAAACGTCATCAGCATAGGCGGAGTACCTGGCCGAGGTGGTAGCACCAGGTAAGGAAATTCCGCCAAGGACCAGATTCGTCTTCAACTTACGCGGGAAAGGTTCCAACGCAAGAACGTGCAGCAATGGAGACAGCGGACAGCCTTGACGAATGGAGCGAGACAACATGAAAGGTTTCGATCTTACCCCATTCACTTCTACCAGCGCACCGGGGACGATACAGCAGTCGGATCCAAGAGCGGAAGTGCGGTTCAAAACCGGCGGCCGAAAGAACAGCCTCCAGAAACCGATGGTCAACCCTATCGAAAAGCCTTGGACTGATCTAAATTGATCAGCGCTGGCATCACTGTCGACTTTCTCGATGATCAAGCGAACCAAATGAAGGTTGTCCTGAATAGTCCTGCCCTTCACAGCACAAGTCTGCTCGGGACCAATCAGACTAGAGAGGACAATCTGCAAACAGTCAGCTAAGACCTTGGCTAAAATCTTCAACTCTGTATTTAACATCGTCAAAGGCCGATAATTATCTATCCCATCCCCACCGTCTTTCTTCTGGTGAAGCGTTGAGGAATAGACCCCTGCTTCATCCAGTTGTTGAAGATCAGTGCCAGCAAAGGGACAAAGACGGGCGACTGCCTCAAGTACATTTCATAGGGAAGACCATCTAATCCGGAGTCTTGTCCAGGCCAACCTGCTTCAGCGCATCCCAGATCTCAGACTCTGTTATGGGCCCCTCGCACCTAGGCCGCTTCAGCCGCCTCAAGGCAGGGAAAGTCGGCTAAATAGGGCATCGAACTGACCAGAGCTCAGACCGGGCTCCCTGGTAAAAAGCTCCTGAAAGTAGTCACGAAAAGCCTCGCAAATGCCCACGTCTATAGTCACAGTCCGCTTATCCGGCAATGTGATGCTCGCGATATGCCGATTAGTTGCCCTACGAGCTTCCTCTGAACGCAAAGACGCAGCCATATTCGTAGCCTCACAAGACATTCTTTTTATCCTAGCCCTAACTACTAGACCTTGATCCTTCTTGATAAGCAAGGAGGCCAGCTCCGCCTTAGCTACGGGGCTATGTCCCCACTAACACGGGATTTTATCGCCCGATCTACTTTGTCCTCTAGAGACTTTTGCGCTCTAGCCCTGCTATATTGAGTCGCCGACTAAAATCAGCAGCAAAAGCCCTAAGTTTAGATTTCAAAAAGCCCCACCACTTATTCCCAACCACAGCCCCGGCAATTCCCGCTGTAGCATTAGTAAAAGCTGGTCCCGGAAATCTTGCTCACCAAATAATGCTGAGTTCAATTTCCAGTAGCCAGCCATCTTAACCCTAGGTTATCTAAGTTTACCCAACCCGGACAAGCCTATGATCCGAGTAAACTATAAAATGGAAACTTGGACATTCTAAGAGCCCCATGTCGACTCTCTTAACTAGAACTCGGGTCGGCGTAGCTTGCATTCACAACCGAATCTGAACTGCCACACCTAGTCCAAGTCCATACTACCTCCGGGTGTTTATTTTATACTTATCGGCGAGATCAGACCTGTCGATAAAGTCCCAAACGATTTCACATCCGGATTGTTAGTACCCGGTTTTCTTCCTATAATGATCTATATCGATCAAGGACGGCATTCCAATCACCGCTAAAACTACCGAACGAGAAGTCGTCAAAACGGCTCGATCCACCGAAACAAACCAGGTCAAGGCACATGGTCATTGGGCGATAAACCCCAATGAGACGAAGAGCCTTGTCCTTATGGTAACATCCAGCACACAAAGCCTGCCCGCGGATCCGCTGAAGACAAGAGCACACACCGCATCCAGAGACTTGCTCACCAGCCAGGAAACACCCCTCGAGCATCCATCAAAACATGCTGAATAGAGGACGAACCTCTTAGACAGAATGTCCTCATGATCGCGAGATAAAAAACGGGTCTCCTGCACACAACATACATCCACCCCGAGGCGCTGAAGATCGCGATCGAGCCTCGCCCTTCGAGACTCCGACCTCACCAAATCTAGAAGTTGTACATCAAAGGTAAAATGAGAGGAGAATAAAATTTGGGTACATACACCCCTGCTGAATTTTGAAAAATCCTTATTGTGATAATCTGATGCCTAATATTTTGTTGTCATAAATCACCCCACCGCATCCCTCACACACACTTTTTCAAATCTTGTTCACTTTCAAGGCATTTTGAATTCAAATTCAGCTTATAAAGTTTGGAAAATTCCATCTCTACATAAATTTGTAGATGTTATTGTAAATAAATGACAAAATCTGTGTCACACATCTGAGAGCCGCATCATAAATACATGTTGCTTGTTTCAGAATTCGGGCCTATGGATCAGCAGCATTGAATTTGTGTGCTGTAGCACAAGGGCGTGGTGATGGTTATGTAGAGCATGGTATTCATTGTTGGGATATTGTTGCTGGTGCTGTTATTGTAAGAGAAGCTGGAGGAGTTGTTCTTGACCCGTCAGGTAACTGTTTCCACTTACATATTTTTTTTCTAATTGATCCATTTGTCTTTTCAAAATGCTTGTCTCAATAATTAAACCTTTTTTAAGTAATCACAAATCATCGTCAGACCCATTACAGTTCACATGTTTGTGAAACCTTTGTAAATGTTTAATCAAATGTTATGAAGTTTAGAGAATGTGGCATTGATAGCTAAAGGAATTTGTTATAATGCTTGTATAAGCTTGTAGTTAATTAATAATATTCCAAGGAAAACATTGGAACAAAAGATTAGTGAAGAAACAGTTTAATCACATGGATTAACAATGCAATGAGTAGTTAGTGCAGTAATACAAAGAAGTCACTTTGCAACTAATGGTCCTATGAATTGACATTCCTCTCGTGAATTGAAGAGTGTCTTTTTACAATTTAGTGTAGTGAAGGTTGGTCATTTTTCTACATACCTCACTTTTTAAGATATGCATTCACAATATGAATATGTATTTCCTTTTGAATTTACTTCCAACACTTCCCTTGAATTTCTTTTTCTTTTACTCACACTGTGTTTTCAAGAAGTTATAATTGCATTTGGCAAGTCAAAAGTATTGTACAACACTTTCATAGGTAAATTTTTTTTCATAGGTAATTTTATTTCCGTAGCATATCTTGGTTTTAATTGGTTTAAATGCTTTTTATGTTGCCAATTTCAACCTTGTACCATATACATCATCCTGCCAATGGGATTTACTATTTCATCATCTTCCCAAATTTCATTTCCTGCCTTGAAAATCCTGAAGAAAACCTTTTTTTTATTTTCCTTCCATGTAGTAATTTGTCAAACACTGATTTAATTTTCCTGGTGAACATTATTTCCACTGGTGACATCCTTGATAGAGTATTAGGGTCAGGAGTCAGCCTATAATGGCATAAAACTCATGGAGCATTACTTCTTCCATCTCCTCCTCATTTGATTTCTTTAATGCCCTTTTGAGTATATCAACAAAATGTTCAGCCTGACCATTTCATCTTGGGTGGTATGGTGGCAAAATATTTGCAAAAATTTTGAAAGTCGCTTGAAGTAAATTACATACCATTATCAGATACTATAGTATCTGGAACTCCAAATCTCAAAAAGAATTAATGAAGAAAATTTACAGTTCCAGTAGAAGTAGGTCTTCTACACTTAAATATTTCAGACTATTTTGAAAAATTATCAATGACAAGCAAGTAATAGATATTCAAAGGTCCCATGTAATCAACATGCAACCTAGACCAAGTATTAGGCCAGGATTGATAATTTACAGCTGGTAATTTTGCTGCTAGAGCACAACCTCTGCATGACTTAACAAAATTTTGAATATCCTGATCCATCTTAGGCCAATATACTTAACTTCTGATAAGGGATTTCATTCATGAATGCCCAACATGAAACTGCTTTAGAAATCATTTTGGTAAGGAAGCAGGAATTACTACTATTTCAGTATATATCAATACTTAGATGGAAAAAGACTTATTATTTTCAGTAACACCTGGTTTAATTTTTCTTTTTTTTCCATCTCACTTTTCCCTTTTATATCATCCATCATTTTCAAAATGTAATCATCCAACTTGGATTGTATTTTAATTTTGTCCAAAAGTCTTATTGTGTTATACAAAACACTTTCTCTCATTTTTAGAAATTAAAGAAGCAATCACTGTCACCTCAAAAGGTTACTTAGATTCTGGGATTAATCTTGACGAACCATCTGCACGTCTCAATTTCTTTGATGGTAAATACTCCATCTTAAAATCATAGTTTAGTAAAATTGTTCCCTAACGTTGCAACCTGTTGGCAGTATGTATCAGAATATCTTTTTTAGAACTCAAAATAGTCAATAATGGTCAGTAATCTGTTTGTAGGATACATTTTCTACTGTGTATCATTTGGTGAAATTTTTTTACTGTAAATGTAATAGTGTTTCTTTTTCAATTTGATCATATTTTTTAGCCACTCAGCATTCTAGATGCATGGACAACTTCTTTTATTTTACTGTTATGGCAAATAACAGTTCCAATGTCATAATTGCTAGCATCTGGGACTGAGATAGCTATGTAACACCAGTGTTTTTCTCAGTCCACAGCAGTACTCCTGACATACAGACAAGAAAAATACACATTTATCAGACTGATTCCACACAGCACCATTTTTTTTTTTTTTTTTTTTTTAAAATTTATTTAAAGGTGGTCTCAATTTGTGCATGTTTGGCACTTAGAGATTGCAATAGCTTGCAAGCCCTAGAAATGATTGTAAAGTAGCAACGTTTGTCAGGGCAGGCATATTTTTAATATTATTCCAAGGAAAACAAGTAGTTAGTGTGGCAATGTGGTCAACCCACTTTGTGACTCCTGTTTCTATGAGCAGGCATTCTTCTCATAGTGAATGGAAGAGTCTATGTTCAACAATTTAGTGTAATGAAAGTTTGTTGTCTTTCAACCCAAAAGAATTATTAAATTCTATTACCATAAGAAACTGATTTAATGGTTGATTAACAATGTGGTGTCTATAAAAAAAAAAATTATATTCTGCCACTGAACTGAAAAGCTTTTTCCTGCCCCTTTTGAGTATTTATGTAACTTATAAATATTAAAATAACATCATAATGCTGGTATTTCTTTGTAATATTACAGATAAAGAATCCTTCAACTTGGTTGCTTTAAACATATTCTACTAGCAGGATTTCACTTCTATTTTGATAATATCTGTTCCCTTGTCAAATTAGCTTTGCACCTTTTTAATTAAAACTGTGTCAAATTAGCAACTTCTTAACCTTTATCACTCTGTATGTGACATCATTTGCTGTATCCTGCCACTGAAGGTGACTCTGAGCACTGCACAATAGTGTATTTGAATTTCATAGTTGTGTTGTCATATCCTGCAATGGCAACAGAAAACAAGTTTTAGTGAAATTAACAATAAGGATACTGCAATTGAGAGGCCTTAAAAATAACACAGTAGAAAGGGAAGTAATATTGGGAAGTGTGTGTGTGTGTGTGTGTATATATATATATATATATATATATAAATAAATATAAAAGTGAACATAGAAGTCAACACTTAGAGGCGACAGTCTGTTTCATGCTATATGCAATCGTCAGGCCACATATGCTGTTATTTTTCTCGGCTATTTATATATATACGGGTTAGTGGTGCATTGTGGATATTCTACTATGGCGGTTATTTTTTACGAAGTCGCTTTTGTTTATTTATTTGGGTCAAATTATATTGCTTGTTTTTTTTTTTTTTGTTTCTTATTTTATTTATTTATTTATTAACGTAGTAAAATTTGTTTATATCACGTATTTAACAGTTTTGTTTTGGTTTGAGAATTTGATTAAAGCTATTTGTTCAATTTTGGGGTTGGTTGTTGTAGTTCATTCTAACTATTATTTTTTTTTTGGGAACAGTTTTAATTTGGGATTGGTTTGAATTTAGGTCAATTTATTTGTATATTTTTTTTTTTCGGTTTTCGGTTTTTAAGCAACATAGTATTTATTTATTTTATTTTATTTTTTTTTTTTTATTAGTGTATTTGTTTGTTTTTTTGTTTTTTTCGTTTTTCATTTTTTAGGTTACGTAGTAAAAATTTATTTTCATGCCTGCATTTTGAGATGAGCTCGATCTTTTATTTAATAATTTATTTTTGTCGGGGAAGGTAATGATAGCTATTTTTTCCTCCAAGCAAAGTTTGCAAGTTTTTGATTGGTTGTTGTAGGCTGATGACTTTTTCCTTATCTTCCAAGATATTTTTTGTGTGATGTGCGTTTTGTTTTTTATTTCCCAGATATACTTAGAAAGCATAGTACTGTTTGTATATTTACTGTTTGATATTAAATACGTGATATAAACAAATTTTTACTACGTTAATAAATAAATAAATAAAATAAGAAACAAAAAAATAAAAACGAGCAATATAATTTGACCCAAATAAATAAACAAAGCGACTTCCGGTAAAAAATAACCGCCATAGTAGAATACCCACAATGCACCACTAACCCGTATATATATAAATAGCCGAGAAAAATAACAGCATATGTGGCCTGACGATTGCATATAGCATGAAACAGACTGTCGCCTCTAAGTGTTGACTTCTATGTTCACTTTTTATATTTACACACGCTCTATCTCTGATATTGAGCACTTTATCCCATAAATATAGCACACCTTAAGACTATATTTCTTTTATATATATATATAAATATATATATATATATATATATATATATATATAAAATATATATATATGTAGAGAGAGAAAAAAGAAAGAGTCCAAATATAGATCGGAATCCGAGATGATGATAAAATAAAGAATAAATTGGGAATGTATATCAATCTAACTAACATGTTTCTTATTTGTTCTTTATCTTACATAGTTTCATGAAAATCTCATATAATTTTACTGTTTGATAGTACTGACTGATATAAACACGAATAAATCTTAGCCTGGACCAAATCAGTACCAAGTGCTTCCAGTCAGGTTGACAATATTTAAAATGTTTTTTTTATTGTAAAATTGGTTATTACAGAATGTTTATAATATATATATATATATAATATATATATATATAGTTCTTTGGTGTGTTGTGCATGATATTATACATATTTCATGTTCCTAATATGAGAAGCTGTCTAAACATTTAGGAAACAAAAACTGCTTACTGAAAGAAAAGAAAAAACTTGATAGAAAATAAGGTTCATTCTTTCCTGTTGATGTGATTTTGGGGATTTGTGAAATGTCCACTGTCCAGTGAGGCATAGTTCAAATTTTTCATAGATAAGATAAATTTTTTTTTTTTTTTACATACATACAACTAATATTGTAATATTTTTTAATTTCTTATATGCCTTGAACTCGTGCTCTTATATTTTGTTAAAATTTCTTATTCTTTTAGCTTCTTTTTCTTAACTGAAAACAACTTGTATTTTCTAGGACAAAAATTTGATCTCATGAGTCGCTGTTGTCTTGCTGCTGCTAGCTTGCCACTGGCCATGAAGGTGTCATCTTTGATTGAAGATCCAGGGTTTGGGAGAGACTAGATAAACAATATGAGGGTAAGATAGGTTACAAGACAAGTATTGTTTTCTGTCTATATTTCTGAGATGAGCTATTTTAACTATTTACACAATTTACATTGTTTGATCTCTTGTCCTCATCTTTATTGTCATATTCTCAACATTTTGGCTGTTGTATGCTCCAGTCGTCTTCATGTGATGTACATTGGAATTTCAAACTGAACCCTTTATTTTATCCCCAAAGACACATGGCCCAGTGAATAAAAGCATTGGTTGAAGTAATCCAAAAAGTGACTTGACCCAAAGAGTTGCGAGTTCAATACCTGGCTATAGCAGAGATGAACAAAAACTTGGAGAGTTGACTTACTAAAGAGAAATAACAGAAACTGGGATATCCATTAATGGCATGGCATGTGGAACTAGAAAAATCTACCCCAGTGGACTAAATAAAGGGTTCAGTTTGAAATTTCTGGGGTGTACAAAATGTCATGAATATAACAATAAAGATGAGGACAATAATCCAAACAATGTAAAAAGTATTGTTTTCTTTCTTTTTTTTTTCCTCTTTATCAAAGAGAAAACTTTTCTATTTTATTTTATCCTAATTCTTAGCAAGTTATCATAGAAATAAGTAGATTTTCAACAGATTACAACTGAAAGTAATCATTGTCTTTTGTCACAAATTATCAAACATTTCCATCGCTATGTGTATTTACTATTTTTAGAGTGTAGAAGTCCGTCTGCCTGTCCGTCCATCTATTTTCTTGTCATTGTAGAATTGAGTTACGCCATGTTGTTACATTGTTACATCTCTACTATGGATTATTTACAGCATGTTTGTTAGCATCTAAATAAAAAAAAACAATCTGTGTAGATCTTTGGAAATTATTAATTCACAATTTTTCTCTTATGGTGAACATTACCACAAGAATGAATGCTCCACTTACAGATAAATTTAAAAGAATATCTCTACAAAATAGACATATTTATCTTTTAATAATTACAAACAACTACATCACTCATAAACCCGTTAGGTTCCTTTTAAAACCAGTTCATGGTACAAAATAATGAAATAACAATATTATTAATTTTATTATTAATTACACATTTTTATTTGTACTTAAAGACCATAAAAGAAGGTTTATTGTTTCACTGGGCTTCATAATAGTTTGCATGAAAATTTGGAGATATAACTTATAGCAGGTGTAGTTTTTTTTTTTTTTTTTTTTTCTTCAAAATAAGAATGTTTTATATTATTAATTAAGAAGTTTAAAAAAAAAAAAAATTTCCGGACTGAAAACGAATGAAAAGCACCAAAACGCCTTAATGCAAATATATCCTGATTTAAAGTATGAAAATAAATTATTTTATGATATCAATAGATATATCTTTTACTTCTTTACATTAAAAATGTACTTTGAATACAAAATTAATAATTAATACTAAAAATGCTTAAAAGAAGGTTTATTGTTCCACTTGGCTTCATAGTTAATACATTGCATGAAAATTTGAGGTAATAGTTTAAAACAGATGTAGTCTTTTTCAAAATAATATATTTTTATTATACATACATCTTTCTTCCTCACATTTATTTCAAAATATGTAACGGCAGCAAATCATGCATCTATTTATTTACCATCATCATGTAACACATATAGCCTCTTCACCTTTCAAGTAATTGTTTATAAAACAAGTTCTAATATAGTGTAGTGAATGGTATAAATATATGTTGTATTATGCATATTTAAATTTATTTAATGTTGTTGTTAATAATGTATTATAAATGTTTATTATTTTTCACATACTTAATACTTTATTTTTTCACATACTTAATAGTTGGAATATAATATATAAGTGTTTGTTTATATATGCAGATTGATATAAGAATGTCTATCAAAAACAAATACTGAATTTCATATTAAAAATGATGTAAAAACAGAAAAAAAATGGGCCTAGCACAAGAACCCCATGTCTGGTTTTAATGAAATTTGGCACTGCACTCAGCAGGGGTTCAAGATACAATATGCCCCTAAATTGGTTGGGTTATTATGTATCGTTTAAGCTGTATCTCGGGAATGCACATACATACATACATACATACATACATACAAGATTAGAGCTTTAGTATTATGTAGATATTTAAAGTTAACTTTGTCAGACTTTTAAAAGAAAATAATTTTTCTTTATTAATGCATCAATGCTATTGGCTTTAAGAAGTGACATTGTTATGCTTGTTTTCAACAAGTATTACATTTAAGCTGTTGTATTTTTTTATATATGATCTAATGACATTTTCAATTAATTCTTTTACATTCCAATTTTCTTTTAAAGATATCTTTACATTCTAATTTCCTGTTGAGGAAATATGGTTCATCATTGAAGATCTCTCAACTTTGAAAATTTTAGTCTAGTCTTTCCTTTTTGTAACAGCGGAAGTTTAATGTACGACAATAGAATTCATTGATTTTCTGTTTTTCAGTGTTTTAAACTTTTAGTCACATGTTTTTGAAATGTGTGTGAAGAAAAGAAAAAAACAATGATGAAGAAGTTTTTAGATTCATCACATGCTTTTTAAAACAATCATTTTGTTATATTCAACATATGGCAATAATAAAGCATTTAAATTTGTTTAGAAAATTAAAATGTATATAAAAAGTACATTTGCTTATAATGTCATTTATTTATCACCCATGTATATTATTATCTTTTGTTAGTGAAATGTATTCATCTATGTCAATGCAAGCCTGTTTTATTATTGAAAGGCTTAATCTCTTGTAGCCAAGGTCAAAAGATTCAACATCCCAACCAAAGGAAATACATTGTTGTCCCCTGCACTGTGTAAAAGAAATGATAAAAAGAAAGTGACAGAGATAATAAAAATAAATCAGGGGGAAAAAAAAAACAACTAATCCTTACTAGGTGCCTACACTCATTAACTTGATTTACTAAGCTAACCTTAGTAAATCCATATTTGACACCAAACACTGCTTGATAGAATGACTTCAGGTGTAAAATGAAGAGACAAAAAGGTATGAGGGGGAAAGGGATCATTATTGCAGATTCTTTACAAGTCCTGTAACCCATTAGGATCACATATACTGCCACTGCAGTAGCAATGGTGTTTCCTGGGCAAGCTAGCCAGACACAGCCCAACCCTCTCCAGTTTTCCTTCTCTTAGACTGTTTGCCACCCATGGCTATAGGACCCAGCCTGTCCTGCTATTTACCCATAGCTGAGAAGGGAGGGAGATGGATTCATACTTTTCCCAAGGTTATTAGCACATAAGTGAATGGAATGAACTTGGATTGAATTCAAACTCAGTTCTCACATTCTTCAACTCAAGCCACTATCTATATGTGCTAGTACACTGAAATGGAATTGGATATTGTGATATTTAGAGTAAGATGTAAAAACAACAATTGTAGTGTAATTCTAGTTACTTCAGTAAAATGTTTTTGCATTTACAATTTGCCAAGACAAAATAGGAACTTTAACCATTGGTCCTTTTCCTAATTCAGTAGATCCAAATGTAGAAAACTAAATTGATACGGTCTTAATTATTGTTATTTAGTAAACTTAGTTGAGAAAATGGGTAACGGTAAGGTGGTGAGTCTCATTATTTTTCAGTATAATCTTAAGTGCAGTAACTAGTGCCAAGTGGATACACTTAATTAATACAACATAATCTCCCAGAACATTTTTCTTATAAAATTTAAAAGTTGGTTGGGCCTGTTAGATGACTAACCTATTTCCTACTGACACAACTAATAAGTGTTTGAGTTCAGGTAAAAGTCAGGATTTTATATGCTGCTTTTTTAGGCATACTGTCCCTTCCTACATAGAAGATTGGCACAATACAATTTTCTTCATTTGTTGTAAATTTTAAAATAGCTCAGTTTTCAAGATACGTGAATCCTGATTGGGTATGCAATTTAGTGACACTCTAAGACTGATAAAATGTTTAGCCAAAAGTTGTCTTACATTCAGAGACCATATTGTTTTCTTGGCATTTGTAAATGTAGTAATTTACATACTTAATTTATTATTAATGTCATTTAAATACTGCCAATAATGGTCTATTTTTCCTTATTTGTAAAATTGCAAAAAAGTCCAGTTTCTTGAATAAAAGTTAAATTTTACAAAATGTTATAGTTTTTGATTGTAGTGTTTTTATTATGCATAATGTCAAATTTAATTTTATCAATTTGCTACAGATGTGAAAATATATGAAACTATTTCTAAGAGGAAAAGTTAGTTGATGTCTGCAATAATTTGCATTGAGCTGCTTTTATTTCTTTTCAGATTACAAAATGATGTAAAGAAAATAATGAAAGTTTTGAAAGCTGGTTTGGGTTAGTAAAATATTTGATGTGACAAGTTTTAGTGTCGTATAAATTATGACATAAATTAAATTTTCAACATGAAGAAATTTCACTGGAGACAAAAATTACAAATGAAAAATGAATTAAAATTAATGTATATGATACAAATTTAAATTTACTTTATTTCAAATTTTATCTGTTTTAAGCTTCAATTTTAGACAACTGGAAGAAAAATATTTTCAAGAATAATATAACATTTTTCTCTAAGAAAAAAGAAACCATGTTCAATGGCTACTCAACAATTAAAATCAATCAACAGAACAAAGTATTTTATTGCAAATATTCTTATTTGATATTTATATGGAAAAAATAACCACCATTGAAAAATGATTTTTCAATTTTGTTTCTGAATATTCTTAAAATATTTATAACTTGTTTATTTTGTCATCTCTTGAAATGCTGCAAATAGATGATACTTTCATTAAAAATAATTAAAGAACATTACAAATTAACTTATTTTTCAAGAATCATTTTACATTAAAAAGGCTGCATGTTTTTTTTTATCCTTCAAATTACATTTGTCCATGTATTTATTTTAATTTAAATCAGGCTTCAACTTAACCTTTATCACTCTGTATGTGACTTCATTTGCTATACAAAAAGTTTATCCTGCCACTGAAGGTGACTCTGAGCCCTGAACAA